TGAGCAACATTTATTTAACAAGTTTCTTTATTTTTAGTCTTATTATAAGGTCACTTGCCACAGACAGTTATGTTTATTGAACACTTACTGTGCGCCAAGTGACTTACATACGCTAGATTTTGATCTTCAAGCCTTACAAAATATTTGCCATTTTTATTCTTCACAAAAAAATTTAAAAAATAAAATAAATTGAAGCTTAACGAAGTAATTTGCCTACAGTCATACAGCTGGGAAGCTGGAGAGGATTCGAGTCCAGTTCTGGTTGGCTCAAAAGCCCATGCTTTTAATGACGTCTGCAACCTCAAATTTGTGGAAATACCACCAATTTTATTAGGGGAGAGAAAAAATACGTGTGTGTGTATGTGTGTGTGTTTGAGTATGGATAGAAAATGTTTGGAGAGCTACAAGCTGTTAGCGCTGGGGAGCATAAGTGGGTGTGTAAAAGGGTACTTCCAGTTTTATTTTGTACACTTAACTATATAGTGTTTGAAATGTTTGCATTGACCATGTGTTAATTCAGGAAGTTTTTAAAGATTATTTCAATTACCTGGCATAACAGAATTCTGTTCCCTGAAAACACAGAGCTCTCCAAAAACTGGGAGAAGAAACGGGAAATGGGTTTTTTTATGGCCTGTCTTCTTCCACTAATACTAGTCCATTGTAATTTCTACAATGAGGTGGTAGTCACCTGAGTTCTGTCACGTTGCTGGACTCCAATTTTCTGTCCCACCACCAACTCTGAGCTGTGATAAAGATTCTCCTTGCTTTCTACCCCCCTTTTTGGGCAGAAGTCCAGAGTCCATCACTCCTCTGAAACAGTAGATTTCACACTTTCAAAAATCACCCATGATATCTGTGCAAATAAATGACTCCCCATTGCATTTCCGTATTACTTAATAAAACTACATGCTAAAGATACAGGATTGTTTCTGAAAAAATAAAACAAGCAAAAACATCTGACAGCAGCGCATAATGAGTTCCGTGTCCAGCTGCTACTCCATTGCCTCCAACCTTGAGGAATCATTTAATTTCTGCTCTCTAGTACAGTCTCTGGGCTCCCTCCGCACTCCATGCCATTGTTATAGCAATATTGTCTTATACTGCAGTTGTTTATATATTTGTCTTTCTCTTTCACTAGACTGCAAACTACTCAGGGCCCAGGCCACGTCTTTGTACTTGCTAGAGCTCCTAACAAGGTCTCACATAATGTTTGTTATTTCAGTGAGTCTGTAAAATATAAACAATAGTGTCTGATCCAATCCCCTTCCCCACCTCACCCTCCAATAACTTGCTCATAAAACATGTATATTAAAAATATTTTCAGTATTTTGAAAGAACTTAGATTTTTGTGAGACCTCAGAATAATTCTTTATGAAAACTAGCCATAATTATTAGTGAATTATCACTGATAATGTAAAATGAAAAGGTTGAAAAGGCAATAGATATGTTGATTTGATGCAAAGAAAAAAGAAAGTAAAGATATAGGAAGTAGTCTACTGCCAACAGAGAACAACTCAATTAGGAAAAAGTGTGGGTGCAAATCATAAAGGGGAAGGAAATTATTGAAATTTAGTAGAAGCAGAAACTTCACAGACCATGGATGGATGAGGCAAGGAGGCAAACCAGAGAGAAAGGTTAGCAGAATCATAAATGCAGCATAAAGTTGTAAAGAAAAGTGATATTTATATATTTAACAATACACCTAAGAAAAATCAGGACAGTATGAATACTACAGGGTGAGAAATTCTATTTTGTCTGCCTAATCTTCCCCATTCAATTTCAAGCGTCCCGCTTTCTTCATTTATAGACTACATAAAAACGGAAGATTCAGTACAATTTTGTATCATTAATACTTCTAGCATACATCATGATATAATGAGAGGTAACACAATATGGTAAAACAAAATGCTATAAAAGAAAAATAAACACCAACTGGACTTTGCTACTTACTATGTGACCTTAGATAAATATCTCAGTCTCTTCATCTGTATAATTGTTGTGAGACTCAAACAAAGTGGTATAAATAAATGTACTTTGTTAACTATCAAGCTCTTTATACAAATGTAAAGGAATGTTTTTATTAGATCTGTACATACACTGTTATCTCTATTTTGGTGCACTCTAAAATTGCAAAAGCAAAAACCTATAGTTTATTCTTTTAAAAATCATTGGAAGGAAAATCAGTTAAAGCATTTATTTGACAATTTGATTATTAAACAAAACAACTATTTGACTTTCATTTTCACTGTTTGCTCTCTCCAAACCCCTTTAGTATTACAGCTACCATAAATGTGTCTAATACAGGTCAAGCATATTACATATATTTTTATTTCTAATCAAAGTAGACATTATATGTATCATTATTCCCATTTTACATATGAAAAAACTGAGGTTTAGAAAAGTTAATTTATACAAGATCAACAAGCTGCCTTTGCAACATGGCTAACAGATTATGCTGAGTCTCCATCACTAATCTCTACTGCCCTAAGCAACACATCTTCATTTTT